AGAGAGAGAGAGAGAGGGAGAGAGAGAGAGAGGGAGAGAGAGAGAGAGAGGGAGAGAGAGGGAGAGGAGAGAGAGGGAGAGAGAGGGAGAGGGAGAGGGAGAGGAGAGAGAGAGAGGGAGAGAGAGAGAGGGAGAGGGAGAGGAGAGAGTGAGAGAGAGAGAGAGAGAGAGAGAGAGAGAAGAGAGAGAGAGAGATGAGAGAGAGAGAGAGAGAGAGAGAGAGCGGAGGGGGAGAGGGAGGAGGGAGAGGGAGAGGACAGAGAGGAGAGGAGAAGGAGAGAGAGAATAGAGAGTCAAGATGGAGGAAGAAGGAGGGAGAAGAGAGGGAGAGGGAGAGAGGAGAAGGAGAAGAAGGAAAGGGGGAGAGGGAGAGGAGAGGGAGAGGAGAGGGAGAGATAGATAGATAGATAGATAGATAGATAAATAGATAGATAGATAGATAGATAGATAGATAGATAGATAGATAGACAGATAGATAGATAGAGACGGATACGGATAAATAAACAGACAGACAGATTGACAGATAAATAAACAAATAGACAGACAGAAGCAGACGGGCAACGAAAACATCCAGAATAGGAAAATTCAGCTGACGTGGCGAGTTGCCTGGGAGAATTTGCATGTACATCTGTGTGCGTGTCTGTGAGCTAGTCTGTGTGTGTGCGAGTGTATGAGCTGCTCTGTGTGTGTGAGTGTCTGTGAGCTGCTTTGTGTGTGTGTTTGTGTATGAGCTGGTCTGTGTGTGTGCGTGTATCTTTGAGCTCCTTTGTGTGTGAGTGTCTGTGAGCTGCTTTGTGTGTGTGTGTGTGTATGAGCTGGTCTGTGTGTGTGCGTGTATCTGTGAGCTCCTTTGTGTGTGAGTGTCTGTGAGCTGTTCTGTGTGTGTGGGTGTGTATGAGATGCTTTGTGTGTGCATGTGTATGACCTGCTCTGTGTGTGTGAGCTCCGTGTGTACGTATCTTTAAGCAGCTCTCTCTATGTGCATGTCTGTAAGCTGCTCTGTGTGTGTGTGCGTGTGTATGAGCTGCCCAGTGTGTGTGTGCGCGTGTGTATGAGCTGCCCTGTGTGTGTGTGTGCGTGTGTATGAGCTGCCCTGTGTGTGTGTGTGCGCGTGTGTATGAGCTGCCCTGTGTATGTGCGTGTCTGTGAGCTCTGTGTGCGTATCTGTCAGCTGCTCTGTGTGTGCGTCGGCGGGCACGAGGGTCATCACGGGAGAATTCACACAGGCAAAGGGATTTTTGTTTTTAAAGCGGTGATATTGTTGTTTATGTTGCTATTGTTAGTATCATCGTGATTATTACCTTCTCATTGTTCTCCTTTTTCTTCTTATTATTATTTTCATTAGTATCATTCTTGTTATTATTAGCTAACTGTTATTATTATTACTTCTGTTTTTTTTTTTTGTTTCACTCTTCTTTTTCTTCTTATTTCTTCTCTTCCTTCTTCTTCACATTTTTTCTCTTCCTTTACCTCTTCATTTTCCTCTACCTTCTTCTCCTCCTCCTTCTCCTTATATTTCTTCTCCTCCTCCTCTTTCCTCCTCTCCTCTTTTCTCCTCCTCCTTCTCTTTCACCCCACTTGTCATCATTCTCATCATCCTTCTCATCGTGTCAGTTTTCATCATCATTTTCATCATCATCATCATCATCGCCATTATGATTAGGGTGACTATCAAACTCATCCCGAATTGCTTACCCTATCTATCCACATGAGAATAATTAACACGAATACTCATACGATATAAAAAAATGACATGAATATACATTCCGTAAACGTTATCTGACATGTAATAAAACACAATATTTATAGGTTTAATGCAATAAAAGACGATAGAGAAATAGAGTGTTACAGAGCTCGTTTTAGCCTGACAACACCCGCCAAATTGCAAGTCATTGTGCGTGCAATGTATCTAGAGATTCAAAGGATTTCAAAATTCTTTTCGAACAGCGTCTTCGAGTTTCAGAAAAGAGGGAAAGATTTCGAAACTATGAGGAGAGAAAGTGAGAGGAGAACAGGGAAAACTAAATTAAAAGTGTTTGTTAATTGTTGTTTATCGCAAGCGGGGGGAAAATCTGAGATTAGAATGAGAGAGAGAAGAAGAAAAAATAGAAAATAAAAAGAATGAAATAATAAAAGAAGAAAAGGGGGAAGAAAGAAAAAGGGGTAAAAAGA